ATATTATTTTTATTATCTTTTTTAAAATGCATTTAAAAAATGAGTAATGAGATAAAAACTTTTTAAAAGCTTATCGACTATGAATTGAATTATTACATAAAAATAATAAAAAAGAATTATATAAGAGTTTTGATGTAAATAAATTAGCTTTACACGCTCTGTTGTTTTTAATATCTTCAAAAAAGTTTTTAATAAATTATAAACTTGTTAAAAATATACATTTTGCTTTTAATAATAATTAATTATATTAGTTTTTAGATTTTTTATAGTTTAATTTTATCAAATCAATTAAGAACTTATAAAATAAGTAATGTTGTTTTACGATAAATTTAAAAGCTGTCTAATAAGTATTGTTTTTAAATTAGATTATTAATTTTAATTATTTATTAAATCTTTATAAATTATCATTTTTATAACTTAAATATTTTTATCAACTGATAATTTTAAACAAATAATCAAATTTAATCTAAATAAATTAAAAAGACTTACAAAATGAAGTTGTGAAATAATAGAAATTTATTTTATCTAAATTTATACAGTAGAGTAACTAAAAAATTACAATTAACACAGAGGTTGTATGCAAAACTAACTTCTTAGACCAACAAAAATGTTTTTATTTACATATAAAAAATTGTTTCATAGTTTTTAAAACAATATCTTTATAAAAAAACATATGATATAAAACTAAAGATACTTAGACAAAAGAACAAAAATAAATTAAATTTTTTCCCTCCATTTTACATTTAAAATATTAATTTTATCAACTTTAACAAAAAGTTTTACCAATGAAAAAGAATGAAAATCTTTTGGTTTAATGTTAGTATTAAAACACTGAATATTACAAAAGTTTTATATTAATAATTCTATTTTATTTAAAGTAATAAAAAGAGTTATGAATATAGTAATTTTTATATAAAACGTAGTTCTAGGAGAAAGGTAAAATATATATAACCCCAACTGTTAAAGATGGTGGTAGATCTTTGATGGTTTAGATTTATTTCTTATATAAAGGTGTTAGTATTATTAAAAATAAAAAGAAATATAAAGTGTTTAAATTAAACCCAAATTTAAAAGAAATTTATTTACTTTAACAAAAAATTAAAAATATAAGACATTTTTTATTTTAATAAGACAATGACCTAAGCATGCATCTCGCAGAGCTAAAGATTTTTTAAAAATAAAGAAGATGGTGTTAGAATAGCAAATTAATCTTTTGATATTAATTAATTAAAACATCTTTAAATTGTTTTAAAAAGAATTGTACATTTAAATATTACAAAGAATATTAAAGAATTAAAAAATTATGTGATAAAAGAATGTTATAAAACACTTAAAAGTATCTTAAAAAGCTCATATTATTCATGAATGAGAGAATATTTTTATTATTTGAGTTAAAAAGTATATTTCTAAGTTTTAATAAAATTCATTTAGTTTTTTATTCAATTGTTTTTAGTTTTTCATCATGTGTTATTACAAAGACTTAATTGAAAACTGTTAAACTATTTTTTTAAGAGTATTTTACAGGTTTAAGAAGTTTTTGTTTTTATATGCAACCTGTATGGGTGTTATATTTTTTTTCACCGCTATAAAATAATATTAAAACAAATTGTTTTGTAATTTAAATAAAATAATGTTGCTCAATGTATTTTTTTAAATTTAGATTTTAATAATTTGATAAATACTTTTTTGTATAAAATTTACATACTATTATGTTTTCTATATAAAGAATAAGTATAAGAATTTAAAGCATTCAAACCAATAGAGAGTGTAATAATAAGTTTATTCACATTGTTTTCATCTTCATATTATGATTATTCCTCTGTTGTAAAGTGCTTTATTGTTGATGTTATGATCTTGTTTTCAAATATCAAAAATAAATTTTCTACACAATATTTATAATCTAAAGATCGTTTAAGAATAAATATAATTTACAACAAAACACTTAATACAACCGTTTTTACTTTTAAGTTTACATCAATAACATTAATTTTTAAGGTTAATTTAATAACAAAAATTGATTTAAAATATTTTATTAATCAAAATGATTTCTTTATTTGAAAAAAAAATATTTTGATTAATAAAATACATTGAATTATAAAAAAGAATATAAAATAACAACTCAATAAATATAAATATTCAATTTGTATCTTGCTAAGTTCAGAATATTTGATTTTTTAAGTTCATCCTCTACTTCAACAATTATTTTTTTCTCTTTAACATTATTATCATATTTGCTTTCATAATTTCTATATTGCAATGTTTTC